ATTTACCTATATAAATTTAGAGTTCATGTAATTTCTCTTACTTATATTTTAAATTTTTTATAATTATTACTTTAAAATATGAGCATATCAATTAGTGTACGTAATTGATAAAATGAATTGCCTAAACTTTGTTTTATATATATATACACAAAACTTTCATATGAAAAGCATAGAAAGTGTAATTCTAGATTGAAGAAAGAAAGTAGAAGTTATATTATTAAACTAATATAATAAATAAGAACATATGGAAAAAATTTGGACAATAAATTAAAAATAATAATAATAAAGAATAAGAAAATTTTGGAATAATTTTTTTTTTTTTGCTTTCCCACCTGGTGTCTGGAGCCCACATTGGAGCTTCGATTAAATCCGGATCGCGCACTGCAAAGCCCATTCGAGGATGGCGCTCCCAACAAGATTTTCTCCATACCCAGGTCTCGAACCCGAAACCTCTGGTTAAGGGTGAAACACTCCCATTAGTGCACCACAACTCATGTTGGTGAATAATTATTTTTTAATTTATTGTATTCTTTATATAAACAATTTGGACTAATTGTTTATATTCTTTATTATTAAAAAAATTTAATGTAATTTTTTTTACGAAATATTAATTACTCTACTAATTGTGACAATAAATATCAATTTTATTATTTACTGTCCAAATTTATACATTGTGACAATAAAAATTAGACTAAAATTTTTTCATATTCTTTATTATTATTTTTTCACTAGTTGTGACAATAAAAATTACATTAAAAAAATAATAATAAAGAATATGAAAAATTTGGACAATAAATAATAATAATTGTGACTTTTATTTTTTAAACTAATATAATAAATAAGAGCATATGGAAAAAATTTAAAAAATTATATTTTTTTACTATTGCAACTTTTTTATTGCTAACTTTAATCATAGGTTCATCCTGAAATGTATAATATAAATGGATGTTGATTTTTTTTTAGAGAGTTATGCATTTCCATTTTTTAAATTTATTTAGTGATCAATTATCTTATTATTTAATTGACTAATTACGTAAATATTTTAGATTATTGAAATTAGATAAAAAAAAATCTCATAATTAGGAGAGTTAAAATGGATGGTCTAATTTTCTTCAAGCTATTTGAAATGACATTTCATTAGACTACTCTATTTTAGTAAACTTACACTCTTTAAGTAGAAAATGAAAGATTTAAGTGATAAATATTTTTGCCTTTAAATTACAATAAATAATAGAAATAAGTGGAGTAGTAAGGTTTGAGGTATTTAAATTCTTATAATAAATAATAGAAATTAATGAAGAAAATAGTAATTAACACATTTTCTTAATAGTAAGAATACATAGAAATATAGTAAAATTACAACAATAAAATAAAAAAAATAAAAAAGATAAATAGGATCATTGGCTAAAGAGATGTGTCAAAACACTTTTTTAATATTTTAGACTAAAATGCATTTTTCCTCTTTCTTCAATCAAGAATTGATACGTAAAATGCATTTTTCCTCTTTCTTCATTACAATCGAGTCATTTAACAAAAATGTGAAGCATATGCATTGTTTATATATCAATCAAAACTTGATTGTGATGTTCATTTTTCAAATTACATTGCTAAGAATGTGAAATAAAATAAATAAATTAATAAAAGAATTTATTGCATATATCTATTTGTTTTCTCCTTGAACTACTAACAAAATGAATGTCACTTAATGTTATAATATCTTTTTATCTTCACCATTTTTGGTTTGCAAGTTTTTTTAATAAAAAAATGGTAATATCTCCTTCTATTCTCGTGCACTTTTCATTCTATTCTCGCGCACTTTAATTATATTTTCATATACTTAATGATTATCTCTCGCTAGCACATAACGCAGCCCACGTGACTTACATTGCACATATTTTATTCAAAGACGAAGATTTGAGGGAAAAAAAACACACCTTTTAAGGTGTGAAAAGGAATATACTCTCGTAAAATATCTTATTCAATATTTTCGTTTCATTTTTCTTTTGATTCCTTGAACAAGTTGAGAGAGTTGGGTTACTCGATAATTATGAAATTTCATGTAACCGTGTAATAGATTATTTATACCATGAATTTTACTATTAAAGACGTATTTTCTCTTTCAATGATACTATCGAGTCATTTAACAAAAGAGGTGCATCATAAGTCATTGTTTGTTATCAACCAATGACAAATTTCTATTTAAACACTGTATATTTTGTGTCATATGTGTGATATATAGTTGGCTAGGATGACAAATATTGCCAAACATATTTAAGATTTTGAATATTACATCGATATGTTACTTGTACGTGAAATTTTAATATTTCCCCCAAAACGTTATTTCATTTTGCCAACCTTCCGGCCACCACCAATGAAACAAACTATATTTTGGTGGTGAAGGGGTGGCACAACCTCACTACTACCAAATGGGTCGAATGTGATTCTGAACGAAGATGGATTTCATTCGACAGGTAGAATTTTCACCAAAAAAGTTGAACATTTACTATATATATATTTACTTTAAAAAATAATTTAATCTTTGTATATGTAGCATAATTTTCGTATAAACAGGGTTCGGATAAAATTCTTTTGTCCCTCTAGCTCCGCCCCTGATTCCAACTACCAAAAAAGGAGAAATAAGATTCTTATTCTCCTTTACTGTTCTTTTGTTTATAAGTGAAGCTTCTCCACATTTAAGCAGATATCTCAAATAAACCTTCATTAACAAATCAACCATTCAAGTACCTCTAATAAGGTTATGATGCAAATTTTAGCAAAATGTTTCAATTTCTACTAGCAGGACACAACAGATTTACTTCTGTTGAGAGTTTTTGCATCTTGATGGGTTCAAAAAAAGTTGTTCATCTATCCCATGGAAAGAACGAAAAAAGATGAGAATAAGCAACTGAAAGAACCAGTTCAAGATGAACCATTCATATAGAAAGACTAGAGACCAGAGTCAGATACAGTACCAGTGCATTTAACATGGGGAAGATTTTAACACAAGAACAAGCTACAAATAAAGAGAATTTATCAACAGGCAACAAAGAATCAACTTTGCAAGATTGAGGATGCAAGAGATCAAGAATAGAACAAAATGTAGTCGATAGCAGACAGCTTTTGTAAAAGAATTACCTTACCCAACAAAGCAAGTGAAGATGGTTCGACGAAGAGAGTGATATTTGGGCTCCAGATGTTCTGATTTGAGGTAGAAGGAATAGGGGTTTTCTAGGAATACAAGCTAATTATGTATTGATACTAAATGACCTTGCGGACTGCAGGGTCTGTGCCTTGCCAATGAGGCATGACACAAGACTTGGAGCACTTTCAATTAACACACCCAGGGGCAGCCTCTTTGAAGGTGCACTATGTGTCTGAAGGAACTTAATGTACAAATTTAGCCTCCCTCAGTCTCCGAATCAAGAAGGTGCTTCCAGCAGGTCACCAATTAACTTCAGCTCCTTCACAGATCTTGGGTTTGGGGGGGGGTTGTAGAACAGGATAAACAGGAATTTGAACCTAGAAGGCAAGTGGAACTGCTGGTTTCTGTTCAACTCATGCTTAGTCTACAGTGTTTGAGGTCCCAACCAGGCTGGAAATATAATGCAGGTATGATGAAAAAAGAATTTGAACCTAGAAGGCAAATGAAATACCAATTTCCACTCCAACTCATGCTAAAAGCTATAGGTCTAGAGGTTCTCAGCCAAACTTAAAACAATGCACATGTTGGCGCTATAAGAATAGAGCTACTAAAAGGAACAGGCAACAGAAAGCAGAATCACACACACATATACTGAGTTCTAAGCAAGAGAAGCAAAATTAGAATTCCGGAGTGTCTTCATCTTTCACTCTTGCAGTCCCATTAAACACAAGATGGTTTAGATATACTATTTCTTTTAACACAATTTTTGAAATGTAAAACGAAGAATTACGAACTACCATACCATTGAGACATATACCCTCTATTTCTACTGAAAAACAAAATCAGAGTTTTTATTTTATTTTTCTATTGAAAATTAATATCCTCCTATTTGTGTTTATGGGTTTATCAGTTGAAACAAATATCCACCTATAAATAACCCACTATCAACAATAGGCAAGAAAAAAGTACTAGCAGAGTAAGCTTATAGAACCAACGTGACAATCAGAGTTACCTAGAACTGGATACAAACCTACAATTCCATCTAACTCCAAATCAACCAACTCTAAAATGATAGTCAACCAAGCTTTTACGACTAAACAACCATTCATATCCATGTCATGCACCAGAAAAACAACAGAAGCATTTTTCACTTTTCACTGTCTATGCAACTAGTTACTTCCAATCCAAACTAACTTCTCGCAGCTGCACTTGTTAAATTATGTTAACTATGTCATCTGCTTAAACTATTAGAAAGAAGACACTTTTACTTACGTATTTACTTTGGACTGCAATACAGCTCCTTACATGCATGCATATTTTTTTTCTTGGACTAAGCACAAGGAAACATTTGACGCCAAATGTTTAATTGTTTGAACAACCTCACCTAATTATGGATGGATCGTATCATTTATTTATTTTAGGTCTGCAACCTATATCTAGCACAAAACAATCATTATACAAAATATGAGAAACATAACCATTTTATTTCCCAATAGAGAATCCAACTACATCAAGAAAAGATGAAAAGCCTCAATCTTTTCATCAATTCAACTCTCTGCATGTGAAAGCTTCAACCAGCAATTTCATCTGTTTAATGATACTAATTACACTAGCCAACTCAAATTTTCACTAAACTCAACCACATACCAATTCAAAAAAACTAAGCCTTGAAATTCAACCATTAGTATAGTCTCCTCTTGGTCTAGTATTCACCATCTCAAACATTAATGGCAATGAAGCTATCATTTCCAATCTAAACTAAGTTTCACAGTTTATCTCTAGCCCATAAGAATCACTTAGCAAAAAATACAAAAATTACCACTTTATTTTCTAACAAATGAATTCAACTGCATCAAAGAAGATAAAATCCGCAATTTTCATATATTCAACTCTCTGCATTTTGAGAACTTCATCAAACCAATTTCATCAATTGAACAATACTAGTTACAATAATCAACTCAAGTTTTTCCTACAATTCAACCACATCCCGATGAGGAAAACAATTTACCTACATCAATCATGAAACTCAAACGATAGAATAATTTCCTCTCGGACTCTCCGATAGCAAAGCACCATACGGCGAATCCTCCTGATCTTCCGGAGCCCTAAGTGAACCGTGAACACACATAATCACAATTCCAAAGCCAATCGAGACGAAGATGTTCATCCAAATTTTAGCAACCAGCAAGGCAACAAGAGTCACCAAAGTCAAAAACCCTAACACGAACTTATCATCGATATCGAAACCGAACAGCTCCAAAGGTTCATTACGAGAGAAGTAAAGGTAAATCCAACCGACAAAGATGATTAGGAACAACACAAGTAAAATTGGCCGGACAATTAAGGAGATTAATAGGATAGAGAGGATGATTAGCGCGTAATTACCCGCGAAGTAGCGGAGGTTTTTATTGATCCGATAAGTTGCGTCGGATACTGAGATTGGGAGGCTGAGGGCGGCTATATCTATGAATAACGGCCACGGTCGGACGGCGACGGCGGCGACTGTTCCGGCGTCCGGTGGAGGTGAAGACATCGGAAAGTTTACTCTTTTTTTTCGGGTCGGAAATGGAGCTGATTCGGTAAACGAGGAATAAGAACACCTGAAGTAAATGGGTTTGTAAGTAAACTTGGATTTATGGTTTTTCTATTGTCTTCAATTGCACCCCAAATATATTGCTAAATATCGATTTAGAACCTAAACTTTCGAGAAAAGGTCCAAAATAGTCCATTATCTTTACTATTAGACTTAAAAGTCAAAGTTTGAAAATATAATTACTTTGAAATCCAGCTTTAAACAAGGCTTCAAAAATTTTTAATGATCGGGTTATAAACTTTATTCTATTTTAGATTGACTAGTTAAAAACTTATCCTTTAACAATATAAACGAGGATTCACGAGTTTTATATTTAGAAGCAAAGGAAGGAAAGGAGGAGGTTTTTTTTTGTTATTTTTTATTTAAGGAGACTTTTATGACCGTCAAAGAACTCAACTGGAATTAATAAATCATAAATTTTGACAAATCTTGCTAGTTAATAGTTTAGACGTTTGGTTCAATTAGTGTGTTGAAAAGTCAAATGGCATTTTTCCTTACTATGAATAGTGCTAAAAATTGGATTATATATCTAATTTTTTTTGGATTTTCCCCTCGGTATTCGGAGCCTACAATGAAGCTCCAATTAAATTTGGATTGCGCAATGCAAGGCTAATTCAAGAGCAATGCAGGGCTAATTCAAGAGTGACACTCCCAACATGATTTTCTCCATATCTAGAGTTCACCCGAAACTCTGATTAAGGGTGGAGCAGTCTCACCACTACACCACAACGCAATATGCATATTGGTTATGCAATCTAATTAGTCTATGACTAGTGTAGAATTTTTGGCATGTCTTCTTTTAAATATAAAAAGAAGAGAGATAAGTAAATAAATGAACCAATTTCATAAGCTAAAAGAAGCAAAACTTGTGAACAGTATGCAACTTTTTTGAATCAATCATTTACAAGACTTCATATATATATATATATATATGATGATGCCTCACCATGCCCTATAATTTGGTCAATACAGTAGGGGATGCACTGAACTACTAAAGAATATAATAACCAAGAGCACTGTACAATGCGCGAAAAGCCGAGAGCAATGAGCTAACCGAAAAAAAGAAAAACACATACAAGATATGCTTATCTAAAAGCTACAATAATTATACAAGCTTTGCTTATCTGATGTTCTCAAGATTCTCCAAACATCTTGTCCTGGATGATCTGCCCAAGTTTCGAGTACAGAAGTTGCTGTTCCTCAAAGGTCAGGTTCATTATTATCTAACATCGTATGGAGTAAGGATATCAGCTATAACGGTAGACCTCAACGAGGAATTTATTGAACTAAAATGTAAGTTGAGGCGCGTACCTGATCTAAGATCATCTCAACTGACAAGTTCTGAGGCGCCACAAAAGACTGATGATAGATATATGCGAAAACGGCCATCACCATCTGCATGAACATACACATAAGAATCTCCAAACTGATAGTTCAGATAACTAGTAGAAAGCACTACTAATTGGACAGAATAGGAGAAGGAGAAATCGATCAGTCTGAGGAAATACTAATAAGGTACAATTAAAACATCAGCATACATGGCTTTTGATTCTCCTCCTTTTGGACCCCTTCAACACCACCACCCCACACTCACCGCAACAATATGTTCTCGAATTAACTTATATGCCCAATTTCATGAAGAGTGAGAAACTTGGAAGACAATGAGACTTCATATCTTCGACGGGGGGTGCAGTCCATAAATTGTGTCTGACAATATGTGTATATAGAGAGACATATTTCATTTAGCTCACCTGACAATCCATTCTATCTGTCATGCCACCATGTCCAGGTATACTATCACCAAAATCCTACAACACAGAAAAAGAGAAGAACTTTATAAATACAACGTAGAGTTAATGATCCCACTAAGACACCTATACTATAAAAAAAAAGGGGATAAACATTGAACCTTGATCTTGAAGGCCCTCTTAAATCCACTAGCAAAAAAGCCTCCAAAAGGCGCTATGATTGATGCAAACAAGCCAAGCCACACAGCATGCCATTGCACAGGCAAAACAGAGATCTCTCTCCAAGGAAACTGCAGCAGCAAGAATTAGTGAGGGACCTCAATTTATTATCCCCATGATGGCTCAACTAATAAGGATTTGAATCGACTTCAGAAAGCTGAATAATAATAACACAAGCATAAAGAAGATGAAAATAACTTTTATAATGTCTAATAATTTAAATAAAAAATTCATTAGATCCATTTTATGAGGCACACTTATCAGGTTCCCAAAGTAATGGCATGATGGCTGAGCGCGGAGTGATAAGAACATGGAGATCTCAATTCCCAGTTGTGAACGACTACAACACTTGACATGAGACCATTTGATCAACCTTTCTGAGCAGAACTATCATGGTAAAATGTCCAAATAGACTGGAAGACTGCCCGATGATTGCTCGAGATATGTGCGAAATTGGTTTACAGTTTTCAGAAAGTAAAGCACTCACCAAATTTATACCCACTTTCCATTAAATAAAAAACATCAATACTAATATATAACCATCAAAGTAGGATGAAAATGGGACACAGATAGTTAATTAGTTATATCACACTAGCTTCAACATACTTTGAGAAAGAGAACATTGCCTAAAGCCCTAAACCGACACTCCATCCTCCAAGATGTAAGGAAAAAGCTTGATAACCAACGATAGTTGGAAGAAGAAAGGAGGAGATAACGCATCACTTGAAATGATACAAGGTTCTACCAAAGTCACTAAAATAGTAAAATATGCAAGTAGTGACTAAGCAAAAGAGAAAAACTTCAAAAAGTCCAGATTTGACGGAAATTCACTTACCCATGAAGGAAACCACTCTGGTACAGTAAAATAATCTGGTTTAAACAGTGGACCAGGATCACAATCAAGCCACCCAGTTGATAAATCCTGCATTAACCAATATGGATTATGCTTTCCAAAACCGAGGAGAAAATTCGCAAGCCAATTGGGAGAGACATTACCCTAAAATATTACCTTCCTAGGACATGTTAGCCATCTGAAGCGACCAAGTATATTGGCAAGCTGCACATTAGCACATAGCAGAATAATTAGCAGAATATAAAGAGAAAAAAAACACCCCTCTCAAATCACTGTTGGAGACAAACCTTTATTAGGCGTGGGAAATACAAGTGAAGGGGAGAGAGTACATGGATAATGATGACAAGACATACAACCCAAATGCTATGTTAAGAGAGACTACCTAAATACTAACATGTAACAGTTAACACAATCTCAAACATTCCAACTCATCCACTAATTCCCAAAATACCCAGCCACTCACCAGAAATGCGGAGATAATGGTTGTTACTGATGCCCCAATAAATCCCTCCCAAGTTTTCTTTGGAGACAACTTGATCAAAGGAGTTTTTCCAAAGAAGAATCCAAATATATAAGCAGCTATATCATTTATGACAATGAGCGATGCTGGAAGAAGGAACCTGCATTAAAGTAATCCTTTATTTGAAATTCTATATCCATGTCAAATTTTGTTGCATTATTTCAGTTCAACAGCCCAAAAAGATGGAAATAAGAAGTGGAAGAAGTTCCATATCCCTGTCAAATTTTGTGGCAAGCTTCAGCGAAGGGAAAATCAATAGAACACAAACTTGTGAAAAGTGGCCAAAAAGATATGGTATTGTGTGTCAGTTCCCATAAACATAAAAGAAGCCCTGTATCATTCGACTAGTTATATGCATGCTATAGAAAGAAAATAAAACCTGAAGTTGGTCACACCATAATTGCTTGCCAAAAAAGAGAACACAACAATTAGAAGAAGCGGAGGGCAGAGAGGCTCCAAAGAGTAGTTTCAGCATCAAAAAAAGTCTCGACAAGTGAACGACAAAAGATATAGAAAATCTATTCAGAATGGAAGAAACAGATTTACGCTGTCTTACCAGAAAATTCCCTCGAAAATATTGGCTACTGTGAAAGAGGACTGAGTAAACACCACAATCAGAATCATATGGGTCCAAGCGTACTGGCCAAATTGATACTTGTACCTCCTCTTCTTCAGAGTCAGAATGAACCACATAAAACCTGATTTCAAATGAGTGATAACAGTAAAGAGAAACAGGTAGTACAGCAGTCAGTATCACAAAATCATGCATCTAGCGAAAAAATAAAGCAGAAAAAATTTAGGACAACACTACACTGAACAATATGTAATTTGATATGTCTTGGGTGTTGTAAAATGGAAAAGTGATTGTCGATTTACAACATTAAATCAAAGAGCATGCTAAAAGTACAAACCTGCAATATACAAGAAATAACACGTGACCATGTGATACTTGATTAATTTGCTAACAAGCTTGTATAAAAATTTGTCAGAAGTAACTGTGTTGACAAGCCTCTGGCTTAGGATGCGTCCATATACATACAGCAGTGCTGTAAAGAAAAAGTGCCTGGAGACAATAGCAGAATAAGAAAAAACAGAAACAAGAACCTGTAAACAATATGATATTGTATCAATCTAGTAAAATAAGTTCTCAAGCTTCTCAGACTACATTGTACATATATAATAATATATATCACTCATGAAGGCACTCAACAAAGGAAACCACTTTAGAATAGCTGGATTTTGTTGGAAGGATGGCTGTCGGTCAGTCAGGCGTACCTTCTCCATGAACTTTTGTACATCCAATTCAAGAAAACTGCATTCAGGCAAATTTGGGATGATAACCACACTTCTCATTATCCTTAAATTTCAAGTATACGAATGGATCTACCAAACTTATTGAAGCTTTAGAGTAAGTAGCATTTGTATAGATGGTCTTATTTCTTCCATTTACTGCATAACACTCTGGTGCCCTCAAGCTGACAAACTCACAGAAGCATATGCGGTCTTAGCTATAATCTGTTGACAAATTTTTCTTCCCTTTCCATCCACCAACAGACCTTGTCTATACTTTATTCTAAAAATTTAACAGACTTTGCCTATATACCTCTCAATCAACTCCTATTTCCTTCTAGGTACAAATAAGTTCCTTTCTCCCTTCTGAAATTGTGTTTTTGTTTCCCTTCAATCACTCTTGACATTATTATCTACTAGTTTAAATCATAGGATGATTAAGTTGAAACAGAACCTTTCACGGCCTTCGCAGGGCTTCACATCAACTTCTCAAAGAGTTCTCCTTTCGGAAAATCAGGTTGCAAACATTCACTAACTAGCTAACATCCTACAGTACAACATTTGTTCTCTTCCCAAGATATATCTGGGATTACCTTAGAGGGGGAAAAAGACAAATCCATCAATATCTGGAATGGGATAGTCGAAAAGATGGAGAAAAAAACTGAAAATTGGAAATGGTAGTACCTATCTTTAGGAGAAAGAGTCACTCTTAAATCATTTTTCTTGATGCTCTTCACACCTATACCATGTTCCTCTTTCCTTCACTTGTGTCAATCTTAAAGCATTTTAACAAGCTGAGAAGAGATCTCCTATGGAACCGAGACAAATAGGGCAACTCTTTATGTCTCGGCAAGTGGGACAATGCTATCAAAAAAGAGGAAGAACAGGAGTCTTGGGATTAAGAACTTGAAGCACCATAATGAAATTTTTATTTTGAAATGGCATTGGAACAAAGAGAACATGTGGAGAGAAGATTATCCATTGAAAAGTTCAGTTTGTGTAATCCTGGGCACAAAAGAGTCAATAGCACATCATGGCACGGGTGTTTGGAAGCATATTCGTTCTTATAGAGGCAAATAACTGAAAATTATGGTTTTCTACTAGGCAATGACTGGAAAATTAGATTTTGGAAGGATACTTGGTTGGGTTACTCATCTGTCAAGACCAGTTTCATGATATCTTTAGTATTTCTTCTCTTTACAACGCCGTGATAGCTGATTTTTCCACTTCACTAGACTGAGCTCTTGCCTCTTCCTCAGAAGGAATTTAAATGATTATTAAGTATAGAAGACAGTAATTTGTTAACATTGCTCAGCAACTTCGCTCAAGATCAACAGAAATCAGATTACTTCATTTCGAGAGAAATCTAGACACATACTCTTGATCTCAACAGCTAGGGAGGCATGCTTGTGCGCACCTCGACCAGATTACTACGTCTTTTTTTTATAATTGTGGTGTCCAGGCCAGCTTGCGCGCACCTCGACTAATTTCATTGGATACCTTCCACCTCCAACCAACAACAAGTACTAGGTAACTATATCCACCAAGGCTAGGACAGTAGAAATCACCTAGTGTTTTTATCTCTACTGGAATTGAACTTGAGAGCTCATGTTATTCAATCCACTTCATTGACCACTAGGTCACACTCTTGGGTGCCGCTACTACCCACTATGAAAAGTGTCTTAAAAAGAAGTAAAATATGGAACAAATATATGGCCTTCAGAAGAAGTCCGATGTCAAAAAAAATTCAGCAGGATGATAAATACAAGAATGATTCTTTGATAAGGTAAATACAAGTATGATTTTGCTCACCAGTTTAATAGCCTGAAACCAGGAAGTTGCTTGTCTTCATGCGCTTTCCTAAGTAGATTGAACAACTCCTTTGCCATAAAGATTTGTATAACTACTACCATGGCCCAAATATAAAGATGTCCCATGTAAATGATGAAAGCAAAACCACCTAACATCCAGAGAGTTGAATATAGACGGATCAACATTGACTTATACTTGTTTCTATCGTCAACAAGCATATGGGCTCCATTTGCTTTGACAACCTCCCCAAGGACCTTAAACTTCAGGAAGAGGGAGAACAAGAACTTCAGAAAAAATTGAGACCCATAGCATCTACAAGATTCCGAACCAAAACCTAGTATTTTCATTCCAATTATAAGACACTGATTCTGTCTTGAAACATTCCAACATGTTTGACACCAGAAAATTTTATTTTATAGTTTATACCACTTTCACAATTTAAAAGAAAAGAAATATTTAATTAATCAAATTTTAAAGGTTAATGAGATGCTTTCGGACCACGACTTCATTATTATTTTTTCACTACTAGTCTACTACTAATACAATACAAAAAAATCAAGTCAATATCATAAACATATTATTCATCAATACCATAATATAAAATGGAACAGAGGAAGTAATACACTACTTTTGTCAAAAGGAACATTAACTCTCTATGCCGTTCCGTTCCCTCTGGACACTTTCATTTTCAAATTAAACTGATTAAACAAACTAGGAGCAACAGGAAAAATGAAGCAGCAAATGGAGTCGACCACTAAAAAAACACTGAAAGAAAATGGAAAAAGTCACCTCATTTGATCCTCTGCGACGACGTAATCGTGGCGAAGGTGTTCCTGGAGCACCAGAATTAGTATCCTTTTGCATAGCTTCAGTATCAAATCCTTAATATACTACTAATGCATGAATACCTAAAACCACCTAGAAAATTTTAATATAAATAAATAGAAGCTAAAGTAGTTATAATTGGCCAAATGCAAGACAGTCATAAACAAATTGATCGGATAGGTATGACCAATCCATTCTGACTCAAAAAATAATAAAAAATTCATTCCCGTTTTGGGGTGTATAAAGTCAAAGAGCAATTCAGGCATCTATCTTACTGTATGGCGCAATTGGAAGATCACTATTTCTCCTGGGAAATTCAAACAAATTCATGGGATATACAGAGAACAATATATAAATTAACGATATACACTAAGCTCAACAACAACAACATACCCAGTATAATCCCACAAGTGGGCTCTGGGGAGGGTAGAGTGTATGAGGCTCAAGAATACAAATACACAACATAATTACAGTTACACCATTGAAATTGCAGCTCTGATAAAGAACTACACATCAAATACAGAGAAGGTGCATTGGCAACTGAAAGTTCAAACCTTTATGAACCCCACACAAGAAAATCAATAAAAAAAATTCAAGAATTCATGAACCCTAATCAACATAAGTAGCAAAATACTCAAATATAGCAAAAAAAATTGAATCTTGATTACCAAAAGCAACATTTTTGACAGTTTCAATCCACAAATAGCAACAAAACTGAATCTTTATTTATCAAAAAGCAACAATTTTTGACAGTTTCAATCAACAAATAGCAACAAAACTGAATCTTTATTATCAAAAAGCAACATTTTTTGACAGTTTCAATCAACAAATAGCAACAAAATACTGTTTTGCACAGAAGGTCTTCTTCAACCATAAAAAAAAAAACAAAATTTTCAAAACAAAAAAAGCTAACAGTGGCAAAAAAACATAGCCAATTAAAATTTAAACATAGAGAGTAGAAATTAAAGAAATCGAACCTGTGGCAGCAAAATATGAACTCCAAGAATGAAGGAGTTAAGGGCTTTCTGGTATTATTTTTTTTGCTAAATTTGGATTATAACAAAAGAATTAAAACCCAACCTCTTGAATATTCCTGATTTTTATGGGCTTAAAGCAATACGTGTGTCGTCTTTACTTGTCCAGTATTAACTTAGCATATATTAAATAGAAATAAATAAAATAATAATTTTATCATATTAAACTTTTAATATAAAAAATTCAATTCTTTAAAGATAATTTTAAAAAATAAATGGTAATCTGTTTCTTAATATTTTAAGCTAAATCAATAAAAATATGAGTCCCTAATTTTAATATAATGAACAAGTAAAAGTGAACCGAATGAATATTAAATTATCAACTAAAAGATAAATATAAATCCATAAGTAGTGGCATCATTGTCTTTATACTCATTTTTCGATAACAACAAAAGAATAAAAGCAAGAAAACAAAAAGGCTTAAGTCATCGACAGACACTTAAAGTTGTCCGCATAATTCACTTAGACACTTAAACTGAGGCTTGTACCTATTGAACACCTCTACCCTTTCAAATTTGAATCAATTAAACATTTTTTGCCTTTTAGTGTGATGCACGGACAAAGAGCGTGTGAAAGCAACTAATTAGACTTTTTAAAATAAAAAACCCCTTTCTTCTTCCTTGTGATTGCTGCCATTACTCCTCCACCTTACCACCAAGCAGCAACCACCGTCGCCACCGCAATCTCGCACCAGTAACTTTCTTCTTCCTCTTCTTTGCTTTTTATCCAACCATCATTATCATTGTAGTTTTTCATATTTTTCATTATCACCGTCATTATATCCATTTCTTCCTGTTCGGCACCTCTTCCATTAACGCCACTGCTTGTTCGCTTTTTTTTTCTTCAAATATAGAATCGATTCAAATTTTATTTCCTTTTTTTTTAATCTTTGTCATATTGTTGATTTATGGAAGCAAACAAACTTACAAATTTATAACTTAATCTTACTTTGGAAAACTTATGGCGGGGCAAAAGAAACTAGAAAGGCTTATTCGAATCCTGTCGGTTGGTGACGATGAGTTTTTCACTCATGCAAGGCTACTCCTCGCCGGAGAAAGAAGAACAAGAATAAGAACCCAAGTACGACATTGACGACGACGGAGATGATGAAATTCCACAGAATTGTTACAAACCTTTTTTAGCCCTAACCCTTCTTCTTCCGAGCTCTCGTCTGCCATTGATGCTTTTTTCGAAGTAAAATTCTCTAATTTACTCTCTTTTTTTTCAATTAATGCAGAAAAATAATAATCTAAAAGGATAGGGCAATAAGAAAGCTATATCCTCTTTTCATGTTAATATGTGAAGTACAGTTTGAAGCATTCATGCTTAAAATTATTGGAGATTTCACGGTCGCCGGAGTTTTTAAACAATGTTAAAGAGTTGGAATGGACAGCGATATGGTGGTGGAATAGCAGGGGAAGGGTTTGGGTGGTGGGTCAGTCGGTTGGGATTACAGATTATTTTTAATTTTTTTTAATAGTAAGTGATTTTCTTTTTCCTTCACATTATAATACATTTTAAAATGTTTTTTTAAAATTCAAATAACACATGTCATTATTTAATTTGTCAAATTGCCACGTCATCGCAAGTGTATTTCACTCATTTTATACTTTTAGCTAATGATCCAAAAAATGTTCAAATGGTTCAAATTCAAAGAGGTAGAGGTGTTCAATAGGTACAAGCCTGAATTTAGGTGTCTAAGTGAATTATGCGGACAACTTTAAGTGTCTGTCGATGACTTAAGCCAAACAAAAAACAATAAAAACCTAAGGCATAACGTATATTGCACTCTCACTCTGTGGCTTTTATTTGCCAAAAAATTATTCCTTAATAGAAACATAAACTATTTTTTTACCAAGAAAATGGAATTGAAGATTTCTTTTTTAAAAGGATAAACAAATGGTCAAGGAACAAAAGAATTCCAAGCTAAATATCAGATTTCAGTACATTTTTTTTTGTAAATAAATAATTATGTAATGTAGATTATTTTTAATATACTAATCAAATAATGGATAATAAATAATATCAATGTATCTAATGAAGCATAACTAATCCATATATTCTTAAGGGAAAATGGTCAAAAATGCCTTTAAACTATGTGAAAGAAACAAAAATGTTCTTTGTTTATAGTTTGGCTCAGAAATGTCCTTACCGTCAATACTTTGACTCAAAATTGCCCTTGCAGTTTACTTTGATCCAGAAATGCCCCTATAGTTACAAAATGGGTCAAAAAATGCTCCCTTTCTGAATATATATATATATATATATATATATATATTTTATTTATTTTATTTATTTATTTATTTTATTTTTTTTTCTTTTTTTCTTTTTAAACACAACTTCTTCCTAATTAAAATATTATTAAAGAACACTATTCTTGTTTTCTTTCTTCTAAAATCACTTTAACAAATAAAAATGTAGGAAATATTTTTTTTCTTCTTAATCTCATTTTATCAATTAAAATAGAATAATTTCATGTGCCCTTTTGACAAATAATATATGTCATATATATATAATATCATAGTATATCCATCATTAATTTATATTTATATAACGATAAAAAATATTGATAATAAAATAAGAAATGTTTTCATTTTTTATTTTTTTTATAGAATTGAAGTAAGATAAATATTTGCTAACTTAAAAAAAAATGTCATTAGAAAAAGAATGCGTTAAAGAGAAAATAATAATATATTAATTTGGAAAATGAGCATTAATGATCCATAAAATAACAATAAGGGCATTTTTGGACCAAAGTATTGACAACAAGAGCATTTTTGGACCAAACTACAAACGGAGAGCATTTTCTTCCTTTCGCATAGTTTAAGGGCATTTTTGAACCAAAGTATTGACGATAAGGACATTTTTGAGCCAAACTATAAACGGGGGAATTTTTGTTCCTTTCACATAGTTTAAGGGCATTTTTTTACCCTTTTCCCTATTATTAATATACCTTATTCGATACTCCCTCCGTTTAAAAAAGAATGGCCTAATTTGACTTAGAAAGGAGTTTAAGAAAAGAAAGAAGACTTTTTAATTTTGTGATTTTAAATTAAAGTTATGTCAAATATACCAAAATGTCCTTTAATCTTGTGGCATTAAACATGTGATATGGAAAATTGAAGTTAAAGTGTTATCAAAAAAGGAAAGGAATCATTCTTTTTTAAACTGACTAAAAAAAAAACTAGGTTATTCTTTTTAAAACGGAGGGAATACTATTTTTATACCTCTTGCTTAGTCATTATTAGTTGAATATATGCTAAAATTGATAGTAGGATAATCATGGGACAGAATGTCAAACACTTTTAGAACTAAACCATGATTTAGTATTGATTGGACACTTCACACTTGTCAGTTAGGAGCTTTTTGTTGTTGCAATTTCCAGCTATAAAGCTTAACCATTTTATAATAAAAAATTCAACCAATAATTAATAGAGGCCTGAGGGTAATGAGTTGGAACTGAAAATCTTGAAATTTAACTAAATATTTGAACTTTTTTTTTCTTTCATTATTTTGTAATTTGTAATAAGAAATATTTGTATCTGAATTTGAAGAATCAAATGTTTTCTGGTGGCCAATTCTTTTTCTTTCCTTTTGCTTTCTTTTCCATTTGCTTGTTATATTTATTTTATTATTCTCTTTTTTTTTTGGTTCCTTTCTTTTTAGTGGGTTTGTTAAAGGACAAATACCATCATATTTTTAAAAAAAATAAAAATTGAAAAGCTAAAAAGAAGAGGCTTTTTTTTGTTCTTTTTTATGGCAATGGCATATACTTTTTTTCCATAGTAGAGCTAAGCATAAATTCAATGGCTAAAGTAGACCACTTAATATGACTTAATTAGCACTAAGAAAAGAGGGGAATTTCAATATTCATTTACATCGTGAGTTTCTTCATTATTTTAGCAAAAACTATTATTTAAAAAACAGTTATATATAATCCAGACAAATACTATCGAAGGTAAGGGTGGGGTGAAGATGAGGTGAGTTGAAGGGTAGAGAAGACACAATCAATAGGGAGCATCACTTGTACAACTTATTTTCCCTGTTTCCATAGGGAAAGTCATTTTTTCTCATTTTTAACCAACTTGTCTTGGTTTCGAGCATTGAGTAAGGAAAAGTCATTGGTAGAGAGTGATTCCCCTGCATGAGCCCTACGCAAGCTGAACTTGGATTAATCAGACTTCAATGCAGGTACCGAACACCGAGGAGGGCAACTTCTGATAAAAACACTTGTAAAGAAAATAAAAAACTGTTCCAAAGATCAGAATTTTCACTATTCAGCTCCAACACAAATTGTAACATTCTAAATATGTATCTCAGCCATTTTCATTTCTCCAAATACATTCTTAGCAAAAGCTGTAACACAACATTTTTTACAGTTATAATATCACTGATAACTCATTCACTTCCTATAAGTAATCCAACATATACAAAGTTTCTTCTGTTTCCTATTTTTGATTTGGTAAAGAGAAACTATGCTAACAATGCATTTTCTTTTCCTTTCCTACTAAGAATTTTACAGCTCTAGTCCATCAAATCCATTCAGTGAAACTGGCCCAAGGCAATCATCATCGATGCTTGCAAGAACATCGAATTTCCTAACAAGGGTTCTACTCCATCTCATAGCATAAACCACAAATCGGACAGCCACTTCGTTCTCAATCCTTGACTGATCATTGCATATGAAGAAAGGGTTTTCACCTGAAACATAGTTGTAATTTGGCATCTTCCGAACACTGAGATAAATAGAGTTCATAGGTCCACATTTCAGAAAGACTCCATGCCTGCAAACCTCGATGACAATACCAACCAAGACTTCCCCGGTTTTAGGTAAGAAGGTACGACTGTGGAAGGTTACAGGGAACATGATGTACTTTGATGAGTCTAACAACTTTCCACTGCCTACGCTCTTCACTTTTGTTACTTTGAGAAAGTATCCACAATCTTCTGTAGCCCTCAGAAATGTGAGCTGGCTAAAA